TGTTAGTAATATATAATAGACGGGGTGTTGAGAGGAAAAAGAGAGAGAAGAAACTGTTATGAAGACCTCTATGATGCTGCGACTGTCTGCAGCAAACCTGCTGCTGCTGCTGCTGCTGATACTGCTGCTGCTGCTGCTGCAGCAGGGGTTCTGTTTCAGGAACCCCTCTGGAGTTCAAAGAATGCCTTTGCTGCAGCAGCAGCAGCAGCAGGCTGGTGGTGGTGGTGCTGCTGCTGCTGCTCCGCTGCGCTTAAAGCAGCACATTCGAAGTAGCAGCAATTTGCTGCTGCTGCATGCAGCAGACTCCCGAGTCCCTCATGAGCCGCTCAAACGTCTGCAGCGGCTGATTGCTATCAAACAGCAACAAGTAAAACCCTAAACCCTAAACCCTCAGTAGAGGACAAATCTTTAGTCGCATGCTGCATCACAGCCATGAAGCAGCAGCAAAATTCGTCTGCTTCTGTTGCTGCTGTCGCGTTTACTGTTGCTGCTACTGCTGCTGCATTTGGTGTTGCTGTTGTTGCTTTTTTTGCTGCATTATTTGCTGCTGTTGCTGCTGGTGTTAGTGGTTATGATATTATTGTCTCCCTTCAAGCCATTCTTCCTGCTGCTGTTGCTGCTGCTGCTGTTGCTGCTGCTGCTGCTGCTGCAGGTGCAGCAGCTGCAGCAGCAGCACGGGTCTGCAACAGACCCTTTGCAGCTGCGTCTGCATTATATGAATCACCGACATAACTGTAAATTAATTGAACGCATGCGGATCCAAGCAAACAGCAAACTGCTGCAGCAAAATCTGCAGCAGCAACTTGCTGCCAGCAGGGACCCAAGGAAGCAGCAGCAGCAGCTGCAGCAGCAGCAGCAGCAACAACAAATCCTTAAACGCATTCACGCCCTCGACGAGCAACAGCTGCTGCAGCACCAGCAGCATCAGCAGCACCAGCAACAGCAGCACCAGCAGCAGCACCAGCAGCAGCAGCAGCAGCAGCAGCAGCAGCAGCAGCAGCAGCAAGAGGTAGAGGATTGTTTGCGTGCATTAAGAGCAGCAGACGAAGACGAAGCAAGATTAGGAGTTATTTGTGAAGTAAAAAGAAAGAGCAGCATAACAGCAAAAGGAGACAGCAAAAGATTATCTTATCAGAGCCCAGTTCATGTTGCTGCTGCTCTAACTGAAGCCGGTATTTAAAATATATTTACTTATAAAATAATATAAATATATTATAATAAATAAATATTATTATTATTATTATATTATTATTATTATATTTATTTTACTTGTTTATTTTATTTGTTTATTGCGGCTCTGTGCTTAACTCTGTTTATTTTTTATTTTTTATCTCTCTCTACTTCCGTTTATTTATTTATTTATATTTATTTGTTTTTATTTATTTTTATTTATTTATTTATTTATATATATATGCATATTTATTTATTTATTTATTTATTGATGCATATATATATATATGCATATCTATTCATATATTTGATTATTTATATATTTATTTATATTTATATATTTATATGTATATATATATATTTATTTATTTATTTATATTTATTTATATTTATTTACTTATATTTATTTATTTATTTATTTATATTTATTTATTTATTTGTAGGGGCTGACGTGTTATTAGTAGCGACAGACGAAGAGGCGTGGGGTTCTTCTTTAGCAGAGTTCGTCGAAATAAAAAAATATATTCATTTAAATTACTCTTTTAAAGACAGACCGGCATTAGTTGTCAAAGATATTATCATACACCCTATTCAGGTGTACATACACCCCAAATCTATCATATTTAATCGTCTATAAAGACTGATGCTGCTGCTGCTACTGCTGCAGCTGTTGTTGTTGTTGTATATGCTGCTGCTGTTGTTGTTGATATATCTTCTGCTGCTGTTGTTGTTGATATATCTTCTGCTGCTGCTGCTGCTGTTGCTGCTGCTGCGTATTGTTGTTGTTGTTTGTTATTGTGGTTGTTTTTGCTGCTGCACCAATGCCTTTTCTACGTTTCTGCTGCTGTTTTGTGCTGCTGCTGCTGCTGCTGCTGCAGATAGCTGCTGCAGCAGAGGCTGGGGCTGACGGTGTATATTTAATGTACAGTGTATGCGGCGGGGTTCTTGAAGATTTGCTGTTTGCTGCATGCACATGCGGAATAGAAGCAGCAGTTGAAGTTAATTCTGCTGCTGAAGCAGCAGCAGCTGCTGCAGCAGGAGCTACTCTACTCGTGGTGAGCAGCAAATGCATGCATGCAGCAGCAGCACCTTTATTTATTTCTTTTTAGCTGCTTTGTTTGCATACAGACAAATAAATTATATACATATAGCTATGTAGGTTTATTTGTATTATTTATTTTTTATGAAGATGTATGTGGAGGTGTATCTATAGATATGTATTATGCTTTTTTATATATACATTATACACACATATATATGTATATATATACATATATATATATATACTGTTTATATACTATACCTATGAATATATATATATATATATGTATAGATTTATATAGAATCTCTATCTATGTATATACCTGCGCATCTATGTATCTATCAATGCTAGGTGTACACGTGTATATATATATACACAAATATATATATATATACAAATATATATATATATATATATACATATACAAATATATATATATATATAAATATATATATATATATATTTGTGTTTTAGTTTGTTTTTGCGTTTGGTTATTTATTAATTTCTTCACAAATACAAATACCCATGAAACCCCAACAAACAAACAAACAAATTAATTAATTAATTAATTTATTTTATTTATTTATTTATTTTATTTATTTATTTATTTATTTTATTTATTTATTTATTTATTTATGCAGGCAAACGAGCGAGACAGGCTGACGGGTTTATTATTTTCAGGTGTATCGGCAGATGTGCGTGCTGCGGTTTCTGCTGAAGTTGTTGTGGCCGCAAAAGGAAATATTAATACAATAAAACAAATAAAAACATTGTCCAGAAGTGCTATAGATTCTATTGTACTCAGCAAAGCACTCATACAGGTTAATACTCACTCGCTACTCAAACGCTCCTGCTGATGCTGCTGCTGCTGATGCTGCTGATGCTGCTGCTGCTGATGCTGCTGTCTTGATTCTCCTGCTGCTGCTGTCTTGTTTCTCCTCCTGCTGCTGCTGATGCTGTCTTGATTCTCCTGCTGCTGCTGTCTTGTTTCTGCCGCTGCTGCTGCTGTCTTGATTCTGCTGCTGCTATTGCTGTCGTGCTGCTGCTGTGTTCTTGATGCTTCTGATGCTGCTGTCCTGCTGCTGCTGCTGTTCTGCTGCTATCGTGCTGCTGTAAAATATATACATATATATATAATATATATATTCATCAGTGCACTTGTTGATTGCTTGTTTTTTAGTTTATGTAATTAATTAATAAGTTAATATGCATTAATTAATTAATTAATTAATTTATTTATTTATTTATTTGTTTAGGAGGATGCTCTAGATTTAATACGCGCAGCAAAAGAAATGCGTGTGGGGCCCCGCCACCTCGTTCATTTCTTTGCTGGTGCTGAAGCAGCAGCAGCAGCAGCAGCAAAACAAAAGCAAGAAGAAGAGGAATGCAGGAGGGAGCGTCGCGCTGCTGCTGCTGCTGCTGCTGCTGCTGCTGCTGCTGCTGGAGGGACAACAGCAGCAGGAACAGCAGCAGCAGCAGAAGCAGTAGAGACAAAAGATAAGCAGACTGAGACTCTAAACAAGGAGGATACAACTTCACTGTCTCCTCCAACTGCTGCTGCTGCTGCTGCTAGCTGCTGCGCTGTCCCCTTACAGCAGCAGCAGCAAAATAGACAGGTAGAAGAGACACCCTTCCCGCTGCCGCTGGAGTCAGGTGAGAGTTTTGCTGCAGCTGCTGCACAGGAGGCCTACTGCAACAGCAGCAACAGAAGCAGCAGCAGCAGCACCAACAACAACAACAACAGCAGCAGCAGCAACCCTATCATCAGCGGCAACAGAAACGACACCAGCAGCAGTAGCAACAGCAGCAACACCCGCACCAGCAGCAACAGCAGCAGCAGCAGCAGCAGCAGGGAGTTTGCTGCTGATGCTGTTAGTTCTTCAAGGCCTCTTAAGGAGGAAGACGAGGTTGCTTCGATAGAAAAATCTCTCGTAACTCAAGTGCTGCGCAAGGGCACGGTAGGAGCAGCAAAACCTGCTGCTGCTGCTGCTGCTGCTGCTGCTGCTGCTAAGGACAGCGCTGGAACCCCACAGGGCCTTCGTGTTTATCATTCGGATATCATCGACTCCACAGGCGCTGTGCTGCAGCAGCAGCAACCAACCAGCATCAGCAGCAGCAGCAGCAGCAGCACGGATGAGCAGGACGATGCAGCACTGCAGGCGGTGTGTTTAGATTTGCTGAAGGCAGCAGCAGAAGAGACAGAGACAGAGACAGAGACAGAGACAGCATACACACGTCCTCTCAAAGAGGAGACACTTGCTGTCCCCTCAATTCCTGCTGCTGCAGACACCTTGACCGGCCTCCAACAGCCACAGCAGCAGCAGCAGCAGCAGCAGCAGCAGCAGAGGGAGAGGGGACGGGGGGGCTTGCTGCTGCCGCGCAAGGTGTATGCAGTGGAGGAGACAGGAGATGTGTCTGCTGCTGTCGTTGACCCTCTAGCGGAGACAGTAAACGAGTTGCATCCGCAGCTTCTCAGCTGTCTCCTTTCAGAAGCAAGGGCAAACCCTAAGGCGTTTGCTGCTGCAGCACAGCAGCAAATCGCTCAAGCATGGAGGGTAGCAGAAGAAGAAGAACTCCGCAGCAACTCTAATCACCTTCACCTGCAGTCTCCTGCTGCTGCTGCTGCTGCTGCTGCTGCTGCTGATGCTGATGGAGGGAGGAGGAGACAGCTAAGTGCAGCAGAAGCAGCGTCACCGCTGCTGCTGTCTCCTCTAGGCTTACCCTATCATCAACAGCAGCAGCAGCAGCAGCAGCAGCAGGACAGCGACTGTCCTTGGATTCCGCATCA